ATTTACCCTCGTACGGAACGAGCCTTACACCCGGTTGATCTGGCTGATCAGGAGGAATTTTAAGAGCGCCCCCATCTCTTCAGGAATTATTTAACGTCGCAGTCAGGACGACGATCACAGCCAGAATCAATCCAAGTCCCCAACCAGAAATGTTTATAGACGGTCTGGTAAGCGTCTCATAAAAGGCTGGCACACCCGGCAGGACTTCTACAGCGCAGCAAAGTGCCAAAATGGACAGCGGCCATCGCATGCGTGACCTACTCCCATTGGGTTCGCATGGTGACCGTGACCCAGTGCTTCGACCAGGGCCCTTCAGAGGCACCGCCCTTTCTCCTTCCAGATGCTTCCGGGAAGATTGTCGTCTCTCAAGGTAGTGCGCTCACGACACCTCACCAAAAGAGAGGACTCTCAAGTTGGACTCACTTCCTCACGGTAAGAAGAGATTGAGAGAGTAGATAAGGTAAGGGAACAACGTACCTGGAGATAGCTGCCCCCAACCACAGATTTCTCACCAATTGAGCTGAGTGTGCATTTGATGACCGGTCTTGGCCTCGGTACCACYCACARCGCAATGCAGTGCCACCTCAGCCGAATGCCACATCAGCATGCTCTCATCACCAATCATACATTCCGCCTGTCACCACGGCAATCAATGCCGTCTTAGCCTTCCGGCGCACACCTCTCTACCCAGGCTGTGCGCCTAATATGGCCTGACGTCACAGGAACCAACTGCGAAGAAGCATCGTCAACGCACCAAGTCTATATAACGCCAGCGCACCAAGGTAAGTGGCGAATCAAACCAGCTCTGATACCAAAATGCAAGGAACATGAATGTGGACGAAGCACAGAAATCCAGATTGCAAAATCACACTGAAGTCCAAGTAGTCATAGCAAGAGCAGATAGCACAATGGAACCGAGTAACCATCCATTTGAGAACAATACAGAAGAATCGTGAGTCAATGTCCAAGCCCAATTGGGCGACACCAACAGCATAACCCAATGTAGCTCTCTCTCTTGAATGGCGCCTGGCGCCCTACCTACTCTACAGCCTATCACTACAACTCAGCAATGAAAGCAACCAGACAACTTGACGACCAGCGAGTGATGATGTCAACATCAATGCCGACTTCCTCTTCCACCAGGTACGTCCCACTCTTCCCCTCACTCTCCCTTGTTATCCCACACAGCGCCCTTCACCTCCGAAGAACCACCTTCGCCCTCACCTCTCCTGCGCCCTCAGGCAGCCCGGCTATGGACGCCAGCGCCCTGTGTACAGGCAGCGCCCTACCGCCTAGCGCCTGCCTGTCTCGCACCTCAGCCTAGCGCAGCGCAGCAGCGCAGCAGCTCGCATTCGCGCAGCGTGTCGGCATTGCCCGCAATGGCCAAGATCCCCTGCCCACTCGCCCTGCTTGCCTATATGCCAGTGTTGCGTGTGGGCGGCCTCCCTTCAGCCTGCGTCTGGGCCCCAGTACCTGAGCCCAGGCCCGATGCAGTTGAGGCCCGGGAGATGCAGTTGTGCCTTTTTCATCAAGGCCTGCGGCCAGATTCAGATAGTGGGCCGATTTCCCATTGGCATTTTCGGCCTCTACATCCAGCATGCATTGTCGGCCTCACGTTTATGTGCCCAGGGCCTAACCAACTCAGGGGCCCTGGGATTCCCGCATTTGCAGAGATCCGAGACTCGGTGCACTCCAACCAACTGGCGTGCTGCAACTGTATGGACCCCACTTCGTGAAATGTTTGCACAGAGGGCTCTTGTTGATTTGCTGGCCCGCCTTCACTTAGGGCGGGCACGAGGCTTGCTGGGGCCTTAGCCCANAACATGTACATCATGGCAAGGCCCCTTCTTGAGGGCTCAATCCTCACAATTAGCATGGTCCTCTGCAAGGATGACACGCATAAAATTGAGAAATGGTCCAATTTTTTTAATAAAGTTAATAAGTTATAAGAAAAAAGAAAAGAAAAAAAAACTGACCTTGTCCGCGCGGAACAGTTCATCGGCAAGTCTTTCCTCCTCCCGACGCTGCTTCTCTTGCCGATTGAATCGCTCTGTTTCCTCTGTACGATCTACATCCCTGCAAGCCAGCCACAGTAGATTATCACAGAATTCCGAAGGTTAAGACGCACATCGAAAAAAAACGAAAAAAGAAAATCAACCATCCGTAGTTACAGGAGAGCAAGTACAACATTTGGTTTGGGTTCCACCGTCTTTCCCCAAAAATACCGCCTACGTCTTCTATTCGAGTTCGGGAAAAAAATCAATGATTCGAATAGAACACATGCAAAAATACCAGCCATTCAGATAGAACGCATTTGTGTTGTATTCAAATAGAAAGCAACATATGCCCTGTATTCGATTAGAACACGTGTTATGTTCGGGGGAAGACGGTAGTTAGGAAGTGATAGCTGACCCTGATGTAAAAAGAAATATACCAGTCGTTTGAATAGAACGCATGTGTGCTGTATTCGAATAGAAAGCAACCTATGCGTTGTATTCAATTAGAACACATGACCCTGATGTAAAAAGAAATATACCAGTCGTTCGAATAGAACGCATGTGTGTTGCATTTGAATAGAAAGCAGCCTATGTGTTGTATTCAATTAGAACACATATGTGTTATGTTCAGGGGAAGACAGTAGTTAGGAAGCGATAGCTTACCCTGATGGAAAAAGAAATATGCCAGCCGGTCGAATAGAACGCAGGTGTGTTGTGCCCAATCGGGCTAGCTCAGTTGGTTGAGCACGTAAGTGGTACTCAGGAGGTCGTGGATTTGATTCCCAACATCATCCTTTCGACCCCCCCGGGCCTCCTGGGGGTATGCTTCGGGTTCACCAGCGGAGATTGTTGGCTCGGACCTCCTGGCCGGTTAGGGAAGTATTTGGCTCTTTCCAGCCCACGCCAGGTGTTAGGAGCTTGGGTACTGCTCCCCTCACTGACCAGAGAGAGGTAGGCGTAAACCCATAACCATAGGAAGGCTTAGTTCTGGCTAGTGAATTTAAGCTTCGCCCTGTGCCATAATACTTAGCCGGTAGACTTTAGGGGTTAGTGTAGTTGTGTGACCACTTTTCCTGCAAGTGGGTGGTGGACCCATAACCATTGGGATTGTCTCCTGGGCTTAGGGTACAATAGGTGGGTAGCTTGAGGAAGGATGCTAGAGCCTCCGTGCTGGATACATAATTGGATAATGTAGGGTAGGTAGGTAGCTAGTGTGAGATGGACACAGTATTGAGAGAAGAAAATAGGGTATTAAAATACAACTCATCCCCCAATGAGGAGAAGACAGCTGTAATTTTCTTTATCTTAAAAAAAAAAGAAAAAAAAGAACGCGTGTGTGTTCTATTCAAATAGAAAGCAGCCTATGGGTTGTCTTCGTTTAGAATACGTGTTATGTTCGGGGGAAGATGGTAGTGAAAGCACTGAAAGGCATTCCACGATGCAGACCCCAAATTCAGATTTCAGGGTCGGGGTCTCAGGCCAAGGGAGGCCAAGTGGGCCAGTTCAGAAAGGTCACAGTCGGGTACCTTAGGAGTCAAGTCCAACAGGCACCCGGTGAACAGTCACATCCCAGAGGCAAAGGTTGTATTCTATAAGCAAAAGTCACGTCTCATATTGAAAAGTCATATCCCACAGGCGAAGGACACTTCTCGAGGCAAACGTCACGTCTCAGAGGCAAGAGTCACATTCCACAGTCAAAAGTCGTGTGCCACAGGTGAAAAGCCGTGGCTCACAGACCCAAGCAGCAGCATACCAATGAAAATTCGGGAAAGTACCAGGCCTTGACATTCTGAAGCAAGCAGGCCGGGGGCATGTGGTATCGAGCCCAAGTCAAGCCAAAGGAAGCAGAGGCTGGGACGAGTTGAGGCTCACTCCAAGTCAATATAAGGACTGGCCAGCCACATTCCGAGGGAGAATGCTCATTCGTGAGAAGTGTGGAAGTGCTGCTGAAGCGCTTGTGCTCTATCTGCAAGTGGCATGCGCGAGGGCCCTGCTGGGCAGCGATGTGCTGAGAGGGAAGGAGGCCATAGCCGCATAGCTTGTAGTAAAAGATAGAGCTGATTAGTAGCGGATGCATTCAGAGTCAAGATTCTCAAGTAGAGAGAGGGAGAGAGAGAGAGTGTGTGCTGTCTCTTATACACATCTAGATGTGTATAAGAGACAGGTACTGGAAGTACCCATGGACCCTGTGGGCATACCCAAATGGGTCCCTGACGAGGATACCGCGGACGATGCAGCAGAGGATGCCGCTGCGCTAGACATTGCTACTGCTCTGCCTGCTGCAGCAGCCTGTTC